GGGGTTCTGGGCTGGCCTAATAAGGGCTTAATAAGGGCTGTAGAAAGCCCTAATGACAGCTTTGGAGGGCTCAGAGGCTCTATAAGGGCTTAATAAGGGCGTGTTAAAGGCTTTGTCATATTGAAAAAACCAGCAAAATAAGAAATTGAGGGGCTCGATTTCTTAAATTTAACAAATTTAGGGGCTCAATTTCTTATTTTGGGGTGTTCTGGCCGGCGCAAGACAGTGTCCAGCTTTTGGAATCCCTTAGTTTCTTGGTTCTCCTTTTTGCGCAAACAAAAATGGCAAAGACAAAATGAGAAGAGCAAAATAAGAAATTGGCACGCCGAGGTCAGGGTACCCTGGATTTCTTATTTTCAATTTGTGCATTTTTTCGATTGTTTTTTNNGCTGTCCGAGGGGCTCAATTTCTTAAGCCAATGATTTCTTAAGCAGTGCTGTCGCTGTAGTACTCGTAGAAGTCGTCGTAGTACGTAGTAGTAGCCGTCGAAGTCGTCGCAGTACGTAGCAGCAGCCGTCGTCGTCGTAGAAGTGGTCATCGTCCTAGCAGTAGTCATAGTGGCCGTCGTCGTAACCGTAGTAGTCGTACTAGTCGTAGTAGTCGTAGTTGTCGTAGTAGTCGTCGTAGTAGTAGTAGTAGTAGTAGTAGTGGTAGTAGTCACAGTCGCAGTCGCAGTCGCAGTCGCAGTCGCAGTCGCAGTCGCAGTCGCAGTCGCAGTTGCAGTTTCAGTTGCAGTAGCAGCAGGAGTGATAGCGGCAGTAACAGCAGTAGCAGTTGCAGCAGAGATTGTTGTCCCCGGCCACTCGTATGAGCGGCAGTGTGAATCGGGTGGCATGCTCATGACTGCTGGTAGTGATTTCAGAAGGGTAATTTGGGGGCATTAATTAATAATTAGAATAGCGTTTTGGGGATAGTATACTATAATTACCATAAGGAGTCCCCCAAAACCCAAAACCCTTTTCGAATTATTAAGACCCCTATAGTAGGCAACCGGAGGCTTGCTGGATGGTGAGGCTTGTGCTTGGCAACTTGGGCTTCTGCAGATATAACGGACGCTGTCGTATTACCCTGATCCCTATAGCCCTGAACCCTAAACCTATAGCCCTAAACACGTGAACCCTAATCCCTATAGCCCTAAACCTCTGAACCCTAAACCCTATAGCCCTAAACCTCTGAACCCTAATCCCTCTAGCCCTATACTCTTGTACCCTAAACTCTCAGCTACCGCCCTAAACCCCTTGAAACCTAAACCCAAAGCCCTACAGCCCTAAACCCCCTTGGCGCACGGCCACTTCGCTCGGCTGTGAGGAGGATGGCCGCACCCCGCTCTGCGAGGAGAACCCGAGCTTCTCCAAGGACGGTGGGCGAGAGCAGTAATGTAGGGGGCTTGTTTACTTAGCATAAGGGATTTGGGGGTTGCAAGGTCCGACGGGAGCCAAAGGTGGGTTTTGGGCAAAGCATTTGATAAATGATGTTCCCCAAAGGGTCCAAGTTATAGTATAGTATATACTTTGGGGCCCCAAATACCTACAAAGTAGCTACCACATTAGCACTTGGACCTTTGGGGGCTTTAATACTTAGAAGAAGGTTTTTTGGGGTTCGTTCTTAGAAATATAACATAATATACCCCAAACCCTATTCTAATGATTAAGGCCCCTTATAGTAGATCTTAGGCTGATGTCGGGTTCGGTTTAGGGGGGTTTAGGGTTTACGGGGCTTTAGGGCTTAGGTTTTAGCGTTTAGGGGGTTTAGGGTTTGAAGTTTAAAATGGCCATCATCCATCTATGTGTGTAGTCACGGCCAGCCTCATATTCGTAATGAGATGCTTCTGCTATGTTCTTGCCGTCATTAGCGCCAGTACCATCAGACTGTGGACTGGCAATTTGCAAGACGCGCTCCAGATCGTTTAATATACTATATAATATACTACATTATACTATGACAGACGATAAAACTCTACTATACCAACAAAAGCACTTATAGACCCAAGCCCTGCGGCTTCGCAGAGCAGGCTTGGGGAATGGTTTCAGGCGATCCTTCCGAGACACTCTCTAAGGGCTTTAGGAGGGACCCTTAATAGGGACCCTTGTTAATTATTGGGGTTAACATGGAGACTACCTGGCTATACAAGGGGTATATAAGGACTATACAATGGTTATTTAAGGTAGTGGGATTAAGGGTCCCTATGAGGGGTCCCTCCTAAAGTCCTTAGACACTCTCGCTTGTGCATACACAGAAGGCGCATTGCCGAAGCGAGTGCTTGCAGGCTTTCAAGGCAAACGGGTAGTTCTGTAAATTAGGGTCTCGTTTTAGGGTCCATTGTTTGGGGTGCCGTACCATATTGGGGACCTAGAAATTTACAGAACCACCCAAGCTTTTTCTGGCTCAATCCGTCCGTCTCCGGCAACTGAGTGTAATCACAGCAGGTGAGTCTGAATCATGCAGTCCTGACTCTCATATTGCAGTACATGCCATCAACGTCACTTGACAAGATGTCACAAGTCTGTTGGGAGTCCTTCTACCTACACCCTCTGTCTGATTGCAGGTAGGCAGTAAAATGCAGTGGCCGTTGGAAGGAGGAGGAGAATATCGTGAACGACACGAACGAGACCAACGAAATCAGAGAGATCCAGATGGAGGCCATGGAGACTGCTTTGTTCGCCTTTGAAACTTCCAGCGTAAGCTTTGTGTAGATTACGCTGGCCTTCGGATATCGAGCCCATCTCAATCTGACTCAAACTTCGCAGCTCTCTGGGAATTTCTTTGCTCCCGAACTCTTGGGATGTTATTGGTGTTGGGTTTGTCGGGTTGCGGAATCTGGCAACACGCTCAAGCGGGTTTGACATATATATATATATATATATATGATGAGGTCAAAATTATCGTATATTGGTTGTAAAGCAGGCGGTTGTCGAAGATGGCCAATGCTACCGTGGACTTGTAAAACGATAGGGGACGCTCTAAAGACGATACTCTAAATGCAACAATATTGCCAAGTTGCATTCACTGTAAAACGATAGGGGACGCCCTAACCCCACA